TCTGCAGGGGCCTGCCCTGCTCTGCAGCATAGGGTCTGACTAGAGAGAGCAGATGAGGGGCGGGAAAAAGGAAGTGCTATCATCGCCTTTTGATAAAAAGAGGTACTGAGACTGAGAACAATTGAGTGGGATTTCCAAGGTAATTTCCTTGAGGTCTAATGCTCCAAAGCCCTGTTGGGAAGTTATGGTTAATAGGTTCCTCTGGTTTCAGTTGGGTGGTCACAGTGTAAATACAAGGGGATGGCTGAGTCTTCTAAGACATGACAGTCCTTTTATTGCCCAGCTGCCTCTCCTAAGAGTGGTGCTGATTTGCATTTCTGCATTCACTGCAGGAAGAGTTTGAATCACTTTTGTATTAACCTGCTTTTTGATAAACTTCCCGACACTGCTGCCTGAATTCAGAAGTGTGTGATCAGAGACAAACTTGTTCTTACACTGGATAGTTGTGAGGGGTCAGATGGCTCATAAAGCCCTCAGCTACGTTTACAGGAAAGCACAAGCTAGAAATGCCTTATCAACAGCTGCTGGCTTTCTGCGGTACACAGAGCGGGTGGTGCTGCTCCTAGAATGCAGTCCGTGTCTCAGAAACGTCTGCCGTCCTCCTTTGGCGGGGGGGCTGCTGCTGCCACTTGGTGTCCACTGGCTTCAGCTACAGGGCGAGTGATCTGTGCTTCTTCCATTCACTAGAAATAGCTTCCTTGTCAAGGTGCAGCCACAAACATGCAGCTGGATGTGCTGGACTCCAGCACTGAGGTGGGGTCAGTTCTGTCAAATGTTGCTGCAATCTGTTGCCATCCCAAGGTTGTCCTTCAGGGCTTTTCCTACTCCTGACTACCAGTGTTTGGCCATATGCATGAACTGAGGCCCACAATAGCTTGAGTCCCAAGAAATCGTGAGCGTAGCTAGAAACGTGGTCTCATCAGCCATTTTTAAAGAATAGTATTAGTGACATAGTAATGTAGTAAGAGTGTAGTTCCCCTGTGCAAGTACAGGTTCCCCTGCTTACTGCTTGTTTGTGGTGAAGTGTGTTTCTGTGTATGTTGTTACTATCCCCTGCAGAGCCTTGCTCATTTAGCAGGGCTGTGTGTAAGAGCACAAGGATCAACCTCATGATTATATATTTGTAGGACTGGGTCACAGTAAAAAAGCTGGGAGGGGGGAAAGCATAGAAGTCACGTATAACATCACTCAGATACACAGACCAAAAATATTTTGAGCAGAAACTTAAGAGGAGAGATATTGTAGTGGTCAAAGAATCCATGTGTGTTTTTTCCTTTACATTTGTAAACTGATCATGTCCCAAATGCTAAAATTTGTTGACTAAGAACATGTTTTGGTTTATAAATCACGGATCAACTGACTTGCTTTGAGGCATTGTTTTGTTAAGAAGTTTTTGAAGCTTATGTCTGCCCCATGGGAATGTGTGACATACTGCGAAATCCTTTGAGAATATTTTCTCTTTGATAAGCAAACATAAGGCACAAATAATACTCTTTCTTGTTGTTTTATATATTTTTTTTTTCTGCCTAGAGTGGAAGTTTCTGTGTATAAAAGCTTTGGAATAAAATTTTAGAAAGGATTAGAGTAGAATAGAAGACAAGACATACAAGGATCATCTAGTTCAACTGCCTGAACCTGTGGTCTTTTTTAAAGTTGGTTTTGTAATAGAAATGCCCATCCGATAATGGGCCTCAGAGTCTTGGGGTACTCTGGCTAGTCCTGCCTCACTGACCTTCTAGCCCAAATGAGGGCTGGATGTAAGAGAATATAGCAAACATAGAGGATCCACGGATGAGCGGGCAGATAGCCCCACAGGTTAGACTAGCACTACCCACAGCATCCAGAGTGTGCGTGTACACGTACAGTGCCTTTACGCTGAATGTAATTAATTGTTTCCAATGGTTTCGACCCCCTTTCATATCTGGCATGACACCCGGCCTCTGCACAGAACTTGTGTGTCCACATGGGTTTAGAGAATAGTCTTGCAAGGATGGGCCCAGCCTGCTCCTGCCTTTTCTGAAATGTTGGAGTAAAGATGCTTGGTGTGAGAAAGCCCTTCCCTTCGTGAATTCCCCTGAGTGCGTGTAAGAGTATGCCATTTTTACACGGGGAAAGAGCCCTGCTCAC